GTAAACTTAAATGCTATATTTATCAGAACTTACAATGTCCCCCAGGGAGAAAGTGATAATTAATATTGTATTATTACGACTCAAAACGCACACTGGGGCTATCAGCGCTAGCCGTCCCTAACTTAGTAGTGAAAAACTAGAGGGAAGGCAGCTAGTCATCGCCACCCACCGCCAACTCTTGAGCAACTCTTTTACCAACGAATAGTCGGACTGACCGTCACATAATAACACTCCCACGGCTGAAAGGGCGAGTATGTTTGGTGGGACGGGGATACTAGGGAGCGAATCCTAGTACATTTTGTAAATTTAAATGATGTTTATTGGAAGTCAAAAGTAACTTTAATTTTTTCACCTTAGTTTGTTTGTTTGTTTTTAATTATGCACAAAGCTACACAAGGGCTATCTGTGCTCTGCCCACCACGGGTATCGAAACCCGGTTTCTAGCGTTGTAAGTCCGCAGACATACCGCTGTGCCACTGGGGGGCTTTCACCTTAGTTTCAGTTCTTGTACTGAGATATGGAAAGTGAAAATCACTCTATAAATATACCTCCAGAAACTTCTACAGGTGGAAGAGCATTAAATGTGTGTATAACTTCTACAGGTGGAAGAGCATTACATGTGTGTATAAGTTCTACAGGTGGAAGAGCATTAAATGTGTGTATAAGTTCTACAGGTGGAAGAGCATTAAATGTGTATTGATAATATATGAAACAGTGTGGTGAAATTTGATGTAGCTTTAAAAAGTTTCTGTAATAAAAAATAAAATTCTAAGACTATCAATTAGATACACGTCATTCAGCTTTAGTTCAATATAATATATTGATGACTCTGAAGAAGGGTGACACCAGGTATTGAACAACAAATTCGGATGTTGAAGGAGAAAGTTCACCTCGAAATTTGGCAAATTAAAATATGTATTTGTTGCTGGCATTCCAACCCCGGTTCCACTTTTGTGTGTGTGTCGAAAAACCATTAAATTGTACCCACTTTTTTTTTTGGGGG